GCATCGCGGTGATTTTTTTGTCGGTATGGCCAGGGCTTTAAGGAATTTGATTCGCTTTGCACTGTATATCCGGATCGGAGCCAGCCCTACGATATGCTACCAAAAACTGCACGAAAGCTGACGCTACAGGATAGTGAAGGGACAACCAAAAACAATTTTGGGAACCATGCAATGTGTCGTTTTACCTGGGTTGGCTAGACATGTATCTCCAGTAAACAAACCTTTCTTTTTCTTCTTAGTTTTGTGCGACTGCAATGCTTCGAAGAAGTGAACAGCTTGAGAATGAACGTAATCGACTTTTCTTCCAAACACAAACGCCGATCCTTGGATAAGCATTGCTGCTTCGGCGAAATTAAATCTGAATTCAGAAGATGTGTAACGATTGTTAAATTAAATTATCAATCATTAATTTAAGTACTTGTCGTGAATTACCTGTGCTCATTATTGACATCATTCTCCTGGTCTTCAGCAACATCTTTCAGTTGCTGACAATAATCGTCAAGTTCCTTCGCGATGTCAATCTCAAAGTTTTTGCCAAGATCCTTCAGTGGACGTAGAAGAAAAGCATAACGCTGCCCCGCGCCTTCAAACTCGTCACCCATTCGACTTCAGATTGTGACTTCGTCTAAACCTATTATGTTCATGCGAAAAAAGGTGAACACTTGAGTGGAGAAAACGCAAGAGGAGAGATGATAAGCGAAGACGCTATCGAAGAAATAAAGGGATATTAGTAAACATCTTTATTAATAGTTTCTATACTAAAGCTGAGCACTGAGAGTGAGAACTCATCCGGCCTGTGGTTTCGTTTACAGATCCGTTCAAGTCCATTCCTTCTTTTCAGGTAGATTTAAACCAACAAGCCTAGCGCTTTCTTCTACCGACCGTTCTCCACCTTTGTAACGCTCCTCAAGTTTGGCCAATTTTCGTGTCCTGAAAATGTATCCAGCATTGAAAGCGAGCTATACATTGCGACGAGGCACTTACCTCGATAAGTATGTCGCGTAAAGATTGGCAACATGTTCAGCTTCCTGTGGCGCCTTAGAATAAATCCGTTGGGTTACTTGATGATCCCTAAGCTGATCTACAAGGTACTTGTACTGGGGTGAATTCTTCGTAAAAGTCTGAAATTGAAGCATGCTGGTCGAAAAGAAGTTGCTATTTATAATAACCGCTAGATTATCGTAGCCATTCTCATGCATTGATTTTCAAGAGATTTATGATTGCGGCCGCATTTTACAGTATCTTGAAGGCAGCGGACAGGCAAAATGAACTCTCGGATTTCGTGAAGTTAGGAGACAACCCAATTACACCGTACTCCAAATCCCACCTGCCAAATGCGCTAAGTCCTGGAAAATGCGCTTCAAAACTCCA